ATTTCAATTAAGTTGAGATCCTCGAAAAATTTGTTGAATTTAACCAAATTAATCTCAACAAATTTTAAGTTGATCATTTGTTGGGGATTCTAAATGTATATGCGAAATTTATTTATACTAATAAATATTTAATAAATTACTTTTAATCAAAAAATATAAAAAAACCATGTCTTTTCTTACTGTATTTTTAATTCTTTCTATTACCGTACATAATACAACATCGACAACAAATCTACACAATTTCAACAAATCTCCAATTAAATACAGAGTGATTCAAGTTAGGAGTCATATTCCATCATCTAGATTCTCAAAAATAAGTAGAACTTTTGTTCGAAACCTAGTGTCAAATCGGAGTTGTTTCAGAGCTAAGGAATTGACATCAGTACACAAATTTTATTAAAATACTTGAAAAAATTATTAGAAAAAAAAATTAAAGCTCTTATATTGGTCTTCCGAGTGACCAAAATGTAGAAGCGACCAAATTTTTGCAACAATTTATTAGAATATTAATCATGTCTATAGATGGCAATGTCCTTGACAGAAAAACTTTATGTATTTGAACAATAATATGAACTGCCAATACAAAATGTCAAATTGAATTTAATATTTTTAATTGTTCTTAAGCTTTTAAAGTAAACACAGGATATTGATGACAAATGCTCTTGACTGTCTTTATTAACATTTTTCAATCAGGCTAATGAAATGCAGATCGGCAATTATAATTTAACGCTCTCAAATCTCAATTCTAAAACTATTCTCAATTATTTTAAAAGTTAAACTGAATTTTATCCCAAAAATGCTTACGTGTTTGCATAAGTTCTAAAATTAAAAATACCTTAAAATACGTGAAAAAGGAACTTGACTAAATAGTCAAAAGAAAATTCAATTTTCATGTAAAATAATTTCAATTACATAACCATTTAAGGGATTGATTGATCTACAACAATCATTTAATTTTTCTAAATATTTTTAAAATAATTCCGAATAAAAAAAAATTCCAAACAAAATTTATTGCCATTTGGGAGAAAAGAGAATTACTTCATTTTTAATATTTTTTTTTAATATTCGCTTTCAAATATCGAATTATAATAAAATTTACTCAATTTCCCACAAATTCATTTCTTCAGTTCAATTTAATATACTTAAGATATCGATTAAGTACCTGCCATCAATAATTTTACTCTATAGGTTCGAAATTTCATATATATTAAATTTTTTTTTTTTGACTTCAATTTCTAATTTTCAATAAAACAAAATATTTCGGGGGAAAAAAGTTCAACATTTCCTTTACAACACTGTGTTTAATTTTTCTTATCAGAATTTTATTATATTCTCTTGGAAATAATTTATTACCTTTTCATTTTTACCCTACACTTTTATGCTTATGAGTTCGTTTTAAAATTAACTTTTTATTTCTAACAATATATTATTATTATGTTTAATATGAAAAAACCATATTTAATAAAAATTCAAAATTTTCAATGATATTTCGATTATGAATTGAATTTCAAGTCCATTATTAATTTATGATTTCGTTCATGATGTTTTGTAGAACTATACGAATATGAATAAAGCCCTAGAAACAAAGAGGTGAAATATAACACGCAACCAAGCTCAAACTTTCTTCTTCTATATCTATAGCAGTACTTTCCATTGTTTGCGATACATTTTTGCTTTCATTAATCGAAATGGATTTTTTTGGGAGAAGCTTCATTTACAGCTTTTTGTTTGCTTATATGAATGAGCAAATAATGTTATTTTTGCATTTATTTTTTATTTTATTAAGTAGACCGCTATTACGGTAATGGGTACAATCCAATAGCTACTTATTAAGATACAAATTTTTTTTTAATCAAGAATCAACAAGTTTCCTTCAGTTAATATCTCCGCCTGTAAAAAAAAAATAAAACATGCTTCGTCGCGAAATTTGCGATATTAAAGGCACATTTAGAACAACAACCAAATTGTTAAAAATTTTTATCAACGAATCAAAAAATAGAAATGAAAAATTCTAAATATATAGTTTCTGTACTTCTTCAAATCTCCAATTATTTCAAAAGTCCCAAAGTTTTTAAATTTTAATTGCAGAATTTCTAAAGCTGCACGAAATTTACTCAAAATAATAATAAGGTTTCTCAAAAATTTTATCAATCTACAAAATTGTATACACGGAAAACTTTCTAGTTTCATGATGAAAAAAATATATTACCTCCATTTAATTATATTCAATTTGTTGAAATCTTCTGTAACCCGAAAATTGTTTTCAAAATCAAATAAATCAGTTTCTACTACGAGTAAAACAAAATTCACTGTTCCACATTGCAATTCTCTCTTTTCATATTCTAAGAATGCTTTAATTCTAAGGAACAACCATTTGACAGATAACGCTATTTTCATATTGTTTTTCAACAGGTTGACACCGCAGAACTAATAACGCTTAAGCCCCGCTTCATTTTCATATTTCTTGGCCGCACATCCCGACTTTTAAATTTATAATGTTCATAAAGATATCCCAGAATTAACAAAAGTAACCATAATATTTTATTTATTTCATCTCGTATTTTTAGAGTAATTTATTTATTTTTATTATAAAAATATTAAATTTTGTTTTGTTTTTTTTATTTTAACTCATTCAATTCGTAAAATATAAAAAATTATATTATTCCACCAAAAGTCATATATTACAAAAATATAGAGAAGCTACACAAAATATTCGTTCTGGAATAAATTAGAGAAGTCAACCGCTATAAAAATTCTTTCAAATAAATCGATTTTTTTTTTCTTATTGTTTTTTTTATTTTCTTCTTTTGGCTCTCGATCTGCAGAAATAAACCTACTTAGTACATAAGGGCGAAAACATAAAGAGCTGATTTTTATTTTTATTTTTTTTTTGTTTTTTTTTTAGAAGATTTATTTAAAATTTAAAATGTTGTATCCTTTTTTTTAAACAGTTTTTATTACTGCTGCAAATAAAAATTTATAAACATAAGCTTCCTAAAAAGTTGAAATTCATAATTTAAAATCCACTGGAAAGAAAGAAAAAATAAATTTGTTTTTTTTTCTGTTTTGTTTTTCTTTAAATTGAATTTTCGTCCAATCAAAGAAAATTTTTTTTTCTCGTACATTAATGTGGAAAATCATTCAGTTGAACTTTTTTTCCATAAAATCTTAAAAATTTTTGTTTTAAAAAGAAATTTTTGACAATTCTACCTTAATCATGACATTGATGATAAGAGATGAGGATTATTGCAGACAAATTCTATCGTCAAAACTAGCTCGATTAGGAGCTAACATACTCTTATATTAGCTAGATAAAAGGCAAACGAAATTAGTCCTTTAATTAGAAAGAACATTGTAAACCATCGTTAGCCTTAAGCCATCGTTAAGTTTAAGTTAATCGTAGCGAATCTATTTGAAACTATTCTAAATTTTTTTACACAATATATTCTAAATTTTAATTCTAAATGTTCTAAATTAATCAACTTACTGAAATCTACCATTCAGCAAACACTATCGTTATTTTTTTGAAAATTTTTGTAAACCTTTCAAATTACCGGCAGAACATTTAATTTTTAACAAAAAAAAATTGAATTTAAGTTTTTTTTCTTGAAAAAAAAAACAACAATATTCTACAATGTTAACCGTCAATAAAATTTAAACAATCGACTAAAACCAATAATTCCCTTGCTCTCACAACATTTTGTGCAAATTTTCAAATATATTGGATTGCTCATCTCCCTTTAAATACGTCATTCATGCATCACCTTTTTCAAAATACAAAAAAAGAGGTTAGGAAAACAACAAAACATGTTTTCTTAATTTCTCAACAAATATTCCATAACTGCTTTCTTTTTCCTTCATTTCTCTTTCTTAAATTTTTTCCATTTATAAAAATTTATATTGCTTTTATAATGGTTTTTTGCTTTGTTTTTTACTCTATGGACTATGTGTGTCTGTCGTTCACTTTCTATCCCTCTCCCTCTCTCCCTCTCTGTCTCTGCCTCACTCAAATATTCGATTTTCCATTATTATTGTATACAATTCACAAAAGCTTGCATATCAATATATTGGTAAGAAAAATACAAAAACAAAAAATGAAAAACCCCATAAAATATGCAACAATATATTAAACTAAAAAAAAAGAAGAAAATAATGAAAATTTTTTAACTGAATACTTTAAAAATATGAAAACATAAAAATTTATGATAAATGTCCTTTTAAGGAGAACATATCGTAACAAGCAAACCAACAAATATGATATATGTGCCGTTATATTAATGACAATAACAACTTTAACAAGGGAAAAACCAAAGTAAAAAATAACAAAAAAGAAGAGAAAAGAATATTGACAATCTTTGTAACAATAAAAATGACTGATTCGAAGGACGTTTTTCATATATTCATGTTTTGGAATAAACACTAACATATATGGAAAGTATGTACATACACATGTACATGTTATGCGGCCCTAAAGAAGGTATAGATTCCAATATTTATGTATTTAATTTTAGCATATGCCAATTTGAGCTTACGATATTCTACATGAATATTCATATATCTGAATTTAATATCTGAAAAGGGAACAAGCAAATAAAGTCAAAAAAATAGGTGAAGCAAGAAAAGCATCCTTTTTCAATAATTGGTTTGTTTTCAGAAAGCATATTGAAAAAACAAACGAAAAATTCCTTCGACTTTTCTATTAAGTTTCCAAATTAATTAAAAAGGTAAAAGACACATATGTAAAGTACCCTCTTTGATAACGTATTTATGAAAAATCATTTACAATGTATGTATAATAGATTTTGTATGTTAAACAGAAATATAACAGTCATTTCTAAATTCTCATTTTGGTTCGGTCGAAGGCAAGCCATAATATATCTATAATATATTAGAATTTGTAGATCTAAACGTTAAGAATATTTTATAGAAATAAATTTTCATCCGAAATGAAACAAAATGCTTAAAATTAAAAATTATATATATACGAAATTTGAACTAACCTGATGGAAAACGTGTTGGCCCATTTGTATCCTCACCGATTCCACTAACAAATAATTGATTATCGTGTCCACTAATCGATACAGATGATTGCCTTCCATATGGTGATAATAATTCAGTACCAACACCTGTTATACCAGCTACACCTGTAGCAGTTGTTGTTGATGTTGTTTGTGTTGAACCATATAATAATAATTGTTGATTACTTGATGATGATGGCCCAGATACAATAGCTATTTCATCTAATTCATGATTATCACTAACCGGTGATGAATAACTATTTGCTGAATTTATTGATGATGATATTAATAGATGTTGTGATGAAGTCGCTCCACTATAACTAATATTATTTTCTTGTATTATTGATTCTTGTTGTTGATTTGATTTGCGACCTCTTAAAGATAAAACCAGCCGTTTGGCTGTTGACATTCCACTAACGTTAACTAAAATGAGAGAAAAATAAGAAAAAAAAAATTAAAAAAAAAACATTTTTTTTTTCTAATTTCAAAAGGATCAAATTAAAAATTTTATATTGTTATTTTCTCTTTTTATTTTTTTTTTATATTTCTCCTTTCTTTATGTTTGTGTTATTTAAGGATTAAAAAATGATTTAGAAAGTTAAAATTTTGTCTTTCTTTGAATGAATTCGCTTTTCTTTCTCTTTTTAATTTTTTTTTTGTTTTCTTACTTCTGCCGACACATTCTGATTTATTAAAGTTACTTTTTAGCTCTCGACTTAACTTATTAAGTCAGTTAATAAAACTCTTTGAAATATATGTACATTCATATCCTTAACATAATTTTTTCGTTCTTCTTTAAAAATTTTTCCATGAAAACAGTAAATCAATTAAGTTCAAAGAAATCAAAATCTAAAAATAATCTCAAAAAAATGTACCTACTCACTACTGAGTAAACATTTTTCACTCTAAATGGAAAAGGATTGAATGTTATGTTTCTTATATGTATATATTTTATAGATTAATATACGGAGAGTATAACTATGGAAAATTTATTCAGTACATAAAAGGAAGAACTAAGTATGTATATAAATTAAGATGTTAAGGGATTTTTTGAAAGGATTATCATAAAACTGGTACAGATTTTTTAGCCTAATTAGTTTTGATGGAAAATTTTTTGCCAATATAATAAATACTTCTAAAAATTTGAAGATATCAGATTAATTTCTTGCATTTGAGAACTTAAGATTTTATAAATAATAATTTCGAATATCAATAATTGCAGTTATTTAAAAATATTAATAGAACTCCAACTAGAATTTAAGTGAAGTGATAATTCTAATTTAAGTCTAATTCTAATAAAGTGATTTTTATAACTTATTTTCAACAATGAAAATGTAAAATTTTATTTATTTATGAAATTAATTTCCATAATTTAACAATTTTCAATATTCAACAGCACAAATGCAAAACCATTATTATAGCCAAAAGTATCCAATGGAATTTAAAAATTGAATTTCATTTGACATACAAGAATTAACAAATTCTTCGAAAAAATATTCTATTCCAGGGTGTCTAATAAACTTCTATTAAAAATTAAATTTAATTTTTTGAAGAATTATTAATTAAAATGTTGCTGGATTTCTTAAAGTTTGATAGAAGCGGTTAAGAAATATTTTTACAATCAGTTGCACTCCATGCGTCAAAATTAGAAGAGAAAATTAAATGCAATTTCAAAATATTAATCAGAAAGTACATTTTGCCGTCGGCTATGTGAAACTCATTGATGTAATTTATAACAAGACTGAGTCATAATTTATAAAACTAACTATAACGGCCTAAAATATGATTTCTAGTTCTTAGAAAGAATAACTAATACACAACTGCAGAACAGATGGGTGGCACAACCAAAGAAACGAGTCAACAAAATTTGAAAATTCATCTCCTAAAATTGGACTCGTACCAGTAAATGAGTAATATCATTAGTGTATAATAGGCATAATACCTATTTATTTGTTCTTGTGATAGTGTAGCACAAAATTTGTATCTCATGTGAACAAATACTTGGTAATCATAAGGATTACCGTAAAGCAACGTGAAGAATAATTTGCTAATAGCTCATTGTCCTTTATAAGAAGTTTGCCGACAGCTCGTTGTTCTTTATGACTCTATAGCTCAATTTGAAAGTGTCCGCCTTGAAAGCGGTAGATCACTGTTACGAGTCAAGCTTAAGGATTTCAATTTTAAAATTAACTTAACTAAGCATAGAAGTAATAAAATCGACAAATATCCAATGAAAATTACCATTACTACAAAGCGCAGACAATATAAAAAATTTCCAATTAATTACATTTAATTAAAGGAATCTAAGAAGGATATTTGTTAAGTTTTAGAAAAAGAAAAATTTTTTTTTGTGTACTTGTGTTCTTGAATGTCCTTTAGAAAAATTCAGGAATATATTATGTTTATTTTTGTCATTATCATTAGCATTATACAATCAAAATCATTTGAAATGTAGAATTTAAAGAAAAAAACGAAAGCAAAAAAAACAAAAAAAAAACGAAAAAAGGGAAAGCTCTTCATTATCGCAAATATGATTTTTCTTTGCGAATATAAAACAAAAACCAAAACTTAACATAAACTAAAAAACAAAAAAGAAAATATGCGTCCAATATAAAACCATCAAAGGAAATTTCGTTAAACATTAAAATGAATTATATAAAAACCAGCTGTTTAATGTCCTTGTACATGCCAGAATATATTATATAGAAAAAATCAAAAAGAAAAAAGAAAAAAAAGCCGAAAAAAAAATATGATTTTAATAGAAGAAAACTAAGAAGCAAAGCACAAAATTGCCACATAAAATATAGCTGTGTTTCGCTAACGGCAACGTTAATAGCTAGTCTTTTCACTGCTCATCTTAATTTTATGTTAATGTCATTCAGAGGTTTTCCTTTCCCTTAAAATGTTATTCTTTTCCTTTATTTTCTTATTATTATTTTTGTTCTTCCTATTATTTTAGGCAAAAAAAAAATAAATATAACATAATGACAGGAATAAGGAATATAAAAAAAAAATTATAAAAAAAAAAAAAACAAAAACCATAAGGATATAAAATTTTTTTTTCTTTTTTTTTTGTTTATTTTTTTTTTATGGAAATTTATCAGAATTTTTCTTATTTTTCTTAGTATATTTTATTTATTTTCGTTTTAAGTTACTACAAATTGTATGTATATATTATATTCGAATTATAAGTATGTATGTGTAGGCTTGTTTAATAGAATAACAGCCTTAGAAAATTATATTACAAATTATGACGTGCGATAAGTCAAACAAAAAAAAAGCAAAGCAAAAAAAATTTATTTTATTTTTCTTTTCTTTTTTTTTTTTTGATAGATTTTAATGGAACAAAAACCCATGGTTCAAACATAAATTAGATTAACAATTTAGTACGAGATTCTAAATCGCTTCCATCTATATAGAATAAATTTCTTATTTCACATTGGATTCATTGCCAATACGTTTAATCGTATATATTGCACGTTTGTCCGAAAAGGTTTTCTTTAGTGTTGTTTAACAATGGTATTTCATTTTACAGAATTTTAATATATTTATTCTCTCAGTAAAAGATCGAACAAAGTTAATGGTTCGACAGCCAAAATATTTTCAAAATATTAAATAAAAACTGGATAATTCCTACAAAACTATTAGAACTAATTTACTCACTAAGAAAATCAAATAATAAATTGATAATCTTCTAATATTTAAAGTACGATCGATAACTTATTAGACACGTAAAGTATCTTGTTCGGACTCTTCTTTTGTTGGATTCTGATATTTTAAAATCGTTTTTATCATTATCATAGATACTTAAACACAATTTATCAAATACAAGCAATATTATAAAACCTTCGTAAGAACTTCAAATCATAAGAATAGAAAACTTACAGTAGTCTTAATGCCTTTGTCATTCATATTTTATTAATTCATTCATTCAAACAATAATATTTTAATAATTTGTAGTAATGATTTTATTGCGGTCCATATTAAAAATACCAATACTCGTATAAAGGGAACAGAAGGGAATTATTCCTTATTTTTATGCAAAAAGAAAAATTTTAATAACAACCAATACTTTCCTTCTCAAAAACGTCAAATTTAAAAATTGAGTTTTCTTTTGATCTTATACAACACAAAATAGAATTTTCATTTAATTTTTCTCTTTCTTATTTCATGTTTCCTGTTTTTTCTTTTTTTGTTTTTAGGTAATTTTCAATGAAAATATAATTTTTTCTCAAAAGCTAACTATTTTCAATATTCTATTCAGGCAATTAGTAAATTAAATTCTAATACTAATTTATAATTTTTGTACAAACCTGAAATTAAGGTGGCAATAACCGGAATTGGAGAAATATAATCAGGCCCAAAATATTTAACAATTTAGTAAAAGATTTTAAAAATTAACTTGTACATTACACTAACTCTACCACATTGACCCTTATATTTAAAATCTAACAGTTAAAATGAAAAATTTCTAGACAAATCGCATTTTCCGTGATAAATATAATATTCCAGTAAATTTTCCGAAATTTCCTTATTTATATAATTTGAAGTTATTTAATTCATTAAATGTGTTTTCGCTCTATTTCTTGAATTCAATTACTTTATAGCTAACAATTTTCCAAATATTTCAAAGAAATAAAATTTCAATGCGACAATTTAATAATGGTCCTTGCAAAGTGTACAGAGCAGACATCTCATATTAATTTTTTTTTTACTTAGAAAACATAGTAGCCACTTATGGTTAATGAAAATTGTTTTAATTTCCTTTATCAAAAAAAAAAATTAATTCTAAACTTTTAAGGACGATGTTAAAATAAAATCATACTACATTTGGGAAGAGAAAAAAAAAACCAAAATTTCGTTAATTACCAAAATGACCTATGTATACAAAAATGTGTAAATGTGATTAAGAGAAATTTATAATTTTTCTAATTTTAAAGAAAAACGAAAATAATAAAAAAAAGAAAAATAAAATGAATTTTTTTTATTAATTTTCCATTTGCGCGTAGGATGCTTTTAATGTTTTAAAACACTTAATGACTCTCAATTAAAAATATTCTTTTTTTTCAATTATAGCGAACAAAAGGAAACAATCATTTTAATTTTAAAATATAAAACAATAAATTTTTAATGAAGAAAATATAAATTCCTTTTTTTTTACCATATACAGAACTTTTGTTAAAAAGAAGTAATTGTCCTTTTTATAACAGTACATACATGCATATGGTCCTATAGACAATTACTTTAATTTTAGTTGAATTGTATTCTGCAAAAAGTAATTTTCTTCTTTAATTTAAAATGGGAAATTTGGAAGAAAAATTAGTCTTACATAGCACAATTCGCCATTTCGTAGAAAATGAAGTTTTATTTTTGGCAGAAAATTGCCCACTAAGCTTTTTAACTTTTATTTTCAAAATTC